GGAATGAAAATCAGAGTGACGCTGTGTCCTTCAAGGCCGGGGGTTGACCATCTATGACATCTTTAAATAAAGGATCCTTTGCTTTCTTCAAAACTTCAAATGTTCTAAAGATACTTGTGTATTTTATTATGTGCCAGGTTTGATTTCAAGCCAACCAAGAAAACATCTCAATTCGCTGGGTCATCCAAGCCGATGGTGTCTGTAACTCTGACACTGTCCTTATCTTGGTCAGTGGACAATCCCAAATTCAGATCCAGAAGGCCATTTCATTTTATTTTATTTCTGCTGCTTTTAATACATTCTCTGGGGGCTTTATAATGTGGTCCCAAGCCAGCGCAAGAAAACAACTGCTTGCCAGACATTCCTGGAGGTTAACACTAAGGATCTGACAAATCTTTGACTTTGTTAGCTGAACACAAGCAGTCATAACAATACAACAATGCTGACTCGCTTCAGGTGTCATGACTATTGCAATGAAACCTAATACACTCTTGTTGTTGCTACAACTCTGAAAATTTATGAGATGGCTGCAAATATATTTAGCCGCGCGGGGGCTCGGAAGGTGAGGCACCAGGTTACCCACTGGGAGCTGGTGTGTGGGGAGTGTACTGCGCACTCTGGCTGCCGTTGCATCATCCAAGTGGGGCAACACTTTTAAACACCAAACACAAAAAGTGGGGAAACACCATCACACATACTGGTGATGGTGGAGGGGATCCCCATTACCTGCAAAGCGCCTTGAGTAAAATGTCCATAAAAGCACTATATAAGTGTACAGAATTACAATTATTAATATCGTAATGGGTTTGACCAAATATTCTATCCTTTAAGTGTGAAACAAGAAAAGAAAAACACGAAAAGCCTGTTAACAACTGTGGCGAAAACGGTTATATAGCACAAGGATAGATGCAGGTCATTACAGCCGACACCTTCCATGCACAAATGAGTTCTTTCATATCCTTTCCTGAAACCTTTCCAGAGGCAAATGGATTATCACAGTGACTGAGCAGTACAAAACACAAGGAGCAGACAACAGTGAAGGAAAAAGAACAGAATCTCATTTCGTTCCCAACAGGCTCTGCTCCCCACTGCGTGTCGAACTGGTGCTCCCTGGCTTCAGAGAGGTGTCATACAGTTAAGTGAAAGCAGAGGCTACACGTTGGGCCTAGTGATTCAGAAAGGGCAGAACCCTATGGCGGTTTCTGTAACGTTAAGTGGACTAAGAGAATATGACCCCCCCCCACCCAGATGTGGTACTGCCTGCAGGGGTACCCCACCAAAGGAATATTGGCACCCATTCTCTAGCACTGGGTGCTGTGGAGCTGTCAGGCTCAAGTACTCAGCAAACAGAAGTGCGCACTAGAACTCTGCACCTCAATGCACAGCTCTCCATCAGGAGTCTGGAGTCCTTATGAACACTGTGGGGGTGGGGAAACACACTTAAAAAGGGGCTTAATATTCGGAATGCCCTTCGAGGTGTCCTGCTCCTCACTTTTCGAGCCATCACTGGTTGGGGCTCAACCAGAGCAAACAAGGAGGTAAGTAAAGACACACTCGCAGACTGCCACCATACTGAATCCAATACTCTGTTCACAGCACATTTATTCACATTAAACCTCAGATCAGCATGCATCAGCCAGGTGATCAAGTCCTTTGCAATCCTGGACTGACTTATGCGACCGGCTTATTTATCCAGACATTTTCAAGGCTTAATTTCAACGCAGACAGTCTTGTTCTGCTCCCGCGCGGAGCTGAATCTTGGCAGGATTCTGTGTTGCAGGAGGCAAACCCACCCCCCCCCCTAAAAAAAAATCCGTCACTCCCCTTAATCCTTAGATTTCCTTCTACAGAGTAAAAGCCATAGTCTCGGCTCCAGTTAGTTTGTTTAAGGCTTTGAGTCATCTCCTTTTTAAAAAAAAAAATGTTGACATAAAATCTAACTTCCGACCCTGACTTTGTTCCAAACTCAAAGTGAAAGAAAAAAACAATCAAGGGATTCACCCCCCACCCCCCCGAACCCCCTTTTACCAGCACCCCCCTCCCCTCCCCTCCCCAAAGGAAGACTTGTTAAAAAAACAGACATGTGCATATAAGCGGTCAACCAAAAAAATCCTCTGAAGAACCAGAGCTTTTCCTTGTTCTCAAAG